ATTATTATTATTATTATTATTATTGTTATTGTGTGTGTGTGTAAATCTGTGTTAATTATTTTGTTATTGAAGTAAATATAGCCTTTATATATTTTGTCAAGTCATTTTCATTGGTGTATCCGTTATGGTGTCTGTTGCGGGGAATCGATATCAGGAGGGTGTACACATAAAAAAGAAAATCTGAAAGACTGATGATATTTAGTTGAAAAGAGAGAGAGAGAGAGAGAGATTAGATGAAGTAAATACGATCTCACAGGAAACATACAGACAAACAGACACAGGTATACAGAAAGACACAGGTATACAGAAAGACACAGGCATACAGAAAGACACAGGTATACAGAAAGACACAGATCGAAAACAAACAAACAAACAGATAAATATATGGGTCAGCCAGGCGTTCAGCAATGGCGACCGGAACGCCTCGAGGGCATGGTCAGTGGCGACCTCCCCCCCCCCCCCTGGCCGCCGGGAGCTCGTTCTGCACCCTGTTCAGACAAGAGATGTTCAGAGGCTGGATAGACGATGAACACTGTTACGTGTGAGGGAGGGAGGGAGGGGGGGAGGGAGGAGGGAGGAAGGAGGGAGGGAGGGAGGGAGGGCGGGAGGGCGGAATGGAAGAAAGGAGGAAGGGAGGGAGGCAGGCAAGGAAGGAAGGAGGGAGGGAGGGAGGGAGGGAGGGAGGGAGGGAGGGAGGGAGGGAGGGAGGAAAGAAAGAAAAGAGGAAGGAAGGAAGGAAGGAAGAAAGGAAGGAGGAGGGAGGGAGGAAGGGAAGAAAGGAGGAAGGGAGGGAGGGAAAGAGGGAAAGAGGGAAGAAGGGAAAGAGGGGGAGGGAGGGAAGGAAGGCAGGAATAAAGGAGTGAGTGGGTGAGTGAGTGAGTGAGTGAGTGAGTGAGTGAGTGAGTGAGTGAGGGGCGGGGCCCTTGTGAAGAGAGTCAGGTGAACAGCCCCTCCGACTGCGGCGCCGGGGGACTGACCAGCGAGCGAACGGCTGGTTGTCTTCAGGAGGGGGTTGGCCACGGTTGTTGTTGCGATGTTGCTGCTGTTGTTGATTAGGACGATTGCCCTGCGACCGCTTGTTTGTGTTACTTTGTATATGATGTTGATATGTTAGGTGGCCAGTTAGTACTGTTATTATCGTTATTATTATTGTTGTTACAGTAATGATAATTATTATTATTGTTGTTGTTATTGTTATTATAATTGTTATTATCATTAGCACTTGATATCATTATCATTATTGATGTTATTATTATCGTTTTGTTAATGTTTTTATTGTATTGTTTTTGTATTGTTATAATAACATCACTAAAATGATAATGAGAATGAATGATATTATTGTTATTTTTATCATCATCATCATCATCATCATCATTATCAGCAGTAGTACTTTTTGTTGTCGTAGTATTGTTATCATCATCATTAGTAACATTACTGTTGTTATTACAGTAATTGTTATTGTTCTGCACTTTATCTCTTACGAATATCACTGCCGTTATGGTGGTAGCTGCTCGTTGCTTGAGTGATTGTAGTGATTTTGCTAATGGAAACTGACACGTAGGGTTACCGTTCATGAAATTTGCACTCCTTTGAAAAACTTGAAAAACTTGAGTGTGCCAGTTTCTATCGTCAAAAGATCTTTGTGTGTCTTACCTGATAAATTCTTTGTGTTTCTTTTTTTTTTTAGAAATTAGAATGTCGTTTCTCTGCTCGATATATGTCACGGCCAAGAATATAAGCGAAACGCAGCGGCGGGAGGGAGCGAGGGAGCGCAGAGGCTGGGGGGGTGAGAGGGGGTCGCGGAGAGGGGGTTGGAAGGGGACGAGAAACGGAGGGAGAGGGGACAGGGGAAAAAAATAGGTGTGAGAATGGGAGAGAGGAAGGGGCAGGCGAGAGCTGGATAAAGAGGAGGTAGAAGGGGAGAGGGACGAACAACGAGGAGAAAGGACAGCCAAGCAGAGGAGGGCCGGCGTCGGGGCCGGAGAGGACGGCGTCGCCAAAGGGCCGAGGCGTAACAAGTGAAAGCACCGTGGGAGCGCAGCGCGGCGTCCAGCGAGGGCGCGGGGCTCCCGGCGGGCGAGTGGCTCGGCGAGGGCGAGTCACGGGCCTCGCGACGTCGCGCGACAGCCTCTGCGTCGGACTCTCGGGACCGCAGACTCCCGCCGCCCTCGGCTGTGTTCCCTTCGGAGGCGTCTTGCCGGACGAGCAGCTTCGTCGCGGGGGCGTCGCTGGCGAGGGTGGTGGCGACAGGGTTCCTGCGCGGAGAGCACAGCCGACGAGCGAGGGCGTGGGAAGGGCTGGGCGCTGGATCCCGCTCGCCGCCCGCGTGTCCGCCTGCTGCTCTTGCATGCAGAATGTCACCGTGGAATCACCGGGACTCGAACGGCGGGTGGCGTGTCTGCTGCGCCGCCGCGCCGCCCCTGCATCCGAACGCCGGGCTTCCGGAAACCTCGCTGCGAATTAGCGGCGGCGCGATTGTTGCCACGTCGCTGCCAGGAGC